GAGCACACAGTCAATGCACAGGCTGGTTGTCCTTTCCTTGGCTTGTTTATCTTCCAACACCTGCATGACCTCCCCATTCTAGAATGAGATGGTTTGGATAGGATCTCTAATAAGTACCTCAAATCGGTCCTGTTCTCAGCTTGCTTCTTTCTCGGCTTATCATTCACACCATGGCTCCCGTTCCTCAGAGTGAAAACCACCAGAGCGATGGCGAGTGCTGTTTCAAATTAAAAAAATCAGTAGTAGAACACTCCTTGTTCACTTGTTACCTGTTACTTTGATCTTTAACTTGCTGGTAAAAGTGCTGTTGATTGGGATATTAATAACAAGGCTGTGACTGAAATGCTAAATTATCCTTTTTTTTTTTTAATCTTTATTTCATTCTATGTCCTTAGAAAGAGAGAGCGTGTGAGAGTGCCAGTGGGGGAGGGGGGCAGAGGGAGAGAGAATCTTAAGCAGTTTGCACGCTCAGCACGAAGCCCGATGTGGGGCTCGATCTCACGACCCTGAAATCATGACCTGAGCAGAAATCGAGAGTTTTGGTTGCGGTGGATTGTACATCACCACTCCCTTCAGTTTGAGATACAGGTGTCCCCCACTAGCTGGAAGTACAGTGTTCCCATGAAACCTTTCATAAGTGGAAATGCTGTCCAGAGAAGAAGCAATTATTTGTAGTTTCTATGGGAACAACTTTGCGGTGTTCCCAGACCTTAAAGATAACCGCTGTTGGGCTTTTCGGATACCTGAGGACACATCTTGCTGGCGGATGCACAGAATAAATGGAGATAAGGCCCAGATGCTCACAGACGCAGGTCAGAGCTCTGGCGGTGTGATGCTGAGATGCTGAGGGTAGCTCCGGAGAACAGGGTCCAGTGTGCACTACCTCTGGGGTGACTCCCTAGAAAACCAATGAAAACAACAGTGAATGCTGTTGTCGCTTTTGGCTTGTTTTGGTAAAAGCAAACTCCTCTTCGGATTTCTTTCCGTTAGCGAAAACCCCGACTAGTGTAGGTTTTACGCAAAAGCAAGGTGGCTTACCGAAAACTTCCAGAAAGCGGGGGGATCCCTTTCTCTCTGACGCGGACCATAAGGAGCTTAGAAGAAAAGACACTTCTTGCAGGCACTTGAAGAAGCGGGGGTTGATCAGCGGAAGGCAGGATGAGGGCTTCTGAAGACGAAGACGAAACGCAGGAGGTCAAGAGTGTCTGCTCAGGTCATGATCCCAAGGTTGTGGGATGGAGCCCTGCACTGTGAGGGTGGAGCCCACTTAAGATTCTCTCTCTCCCTTTGTCCCTCTCCTCTCGCATGCACACACACACACTCTCTCTCTCTCTCTCTCTCTCTCTCTAATAAAAATAAATAAACTAATAATTTGAAAAGAGGTACTCAGGGGCGCCTGGGTGGCTCAGTCGGTTGAGCATCCCACTTCAGCTCGGGTCATGATCTCACACTCCATGAGTTCGAGCCCCACATCAGGCTCTGTGCTGACAGCTCAGAGCCTGGAGCCTGCTTCAGATTCTGTGTCTCCCTCTCTCTCTGCCCCTCCCCTGCTCATGCTCTGTCTCTCTCTGTCTCAAAAATAAATAAAAACATTAAAAAAAATTTTTTTAAAGAAAAGAGGTACTCAGTGGGGAAAGGATAGTCTCCAATAAACATGCTGGGAAAGCAGGATATTCACAAACAAAAGAATCAAATTGGACCCCCATGGCACACCACTCACAAAAAATTAACCAGAAATGAATTAAAGACTTAAATGTAAGACCCCAAATTACTAGAAGAAAACATAAGAAAATGGCTCCTTGACATTGGTCTTGGCAATGATTTTTTGGATATGACACCAACAAGCGACACAAAGCAAAAAGAAACGTGTGAGACCCTGTACCAGACTAAAAAGCTTCTGCACAGGAAAAGAAACAATCGGCAAAAGGAAAAGGCAACCAGCAGAATGGGAGAAAATACTTGCAAACTGTGTGTCTGATAAGGGGTTAATATGAAAAATGTATAAAGAACTCATACAACCCGAGCAAAAAAACAATCGGATGGAAAAAAAAATAGGCAAAGGACTTGATTAAACCTTTTCCAAAAGAAGACATACAAATGGCCAACAGGTACACGAAAGCAAAAAGCTAAAAATGCAATAAAACCAAAGGAGTAAATATTGATAGACATATGGAAATACAACTTTAGTTGGAAACCTGTCAGGAACTGAGGTAGATTTCCCCGTGTTTGTTTCCTTATACACACACACATATGTAACCTTTCTCCACCTCCTAATAGCTACTTACTCTTAGTTGCTGTTTCCTGGTGGCTTTGGTTCGCCAGGACCCCTTGTATCTATCAGGGTGCAGTTAGGAAAGAGATCAAGGGATTCTTGTCAAAGGAGAGGCCAGGTTAAGGGAAACCCAGGAGGGCTGGAGAAGTATCCTGAGCTAGCAGCCACGGGAAGCCCAGTCACCCCTAAACCTACATGTTGAGGCAGGGAACAGCAGGGAACCTGCAGAGAGGGCTGGGCTGTAGGAGAGGCTGCCTGGAGAGGCTGAGAGCTTTGGAGAAGAATAAACCACTGTCAACCACACCCCGGTAAAAGGGAGCCAGAGCAAGAAAGACCGTCCGTCCCTCCCCTCAGACCAGAGGCCAAGGGAGCCCAGTCTCCCAGGCAGAGGTAGGGGAGAGAGTGGCCAGGAACTCTAGAGATGCAATGGTAGAATATCCACCATACCCTTGAGGCCTTAAGGCTTCTTTCTGTGTATTCTTTTGTTACATCCCTCTGGGCAGTTGCTTTAGTGACCCACTATTTGTTAGGTCACATTTCCCGCTGAGCGAGTGAGAGCATTTCAGCTCTGCCATCAGTGGCCAGGCTCTGGATTAGCTGCCCTTGGGTCATCTACCCAGTCCAATCAGCTATATAAGCACACCTCGAAGCTATTGCAGGTTAGGTTTCAGACCGCTGCAATAAAGTGAATATCGAAGCAAAGTGAGTCAAATGACTTTTTTGGTTTCCTGGCATATTATAATTTCCTGTAAGCATATTAAAGTTATGCTTACACTAAACTGTAATCTCTTAAGTATGCAACAGTATTATACCTGAAAAAACTATGTACATGCCTTAATTTAGCATAATTTCATTTACTGCTTTTATAAAAAATGCTAGCCATAATCTGAGCTTTCAGTAATTTACAATCTTTTTGCTGGTGGAGGGTCTCGTCTCCATGTTGATGGCTGCTGGCTGATCAGGGTGGTGGTTGCTGAAGGTTGGGGTGGCTGTGGCAATGTCTTTTTTTTTCCTCCTCTTGTCCCCCACCACTGCCATGCTGGCCACTGTAGCAATTTCTTAAAATAAGACAAAGATGAAGTTTGCCACATTGATGGACTCTCTCTCACGAACAATTTCTCTGGAGCATGTGATGCTTTTTGGTAGCAGTTTACCCACAGTAGAACTTCTTTCAAAATTGGAGTCAATCGTCTCAAACCCTGCCTCTGGTGTATCTACTAAGTTCATATAATATTCCCAATCTTTAGTTGGCATTTCAAAAATCCCCACTGTGTCTTCACCAGGAGTAGATTCCATCTCAAGAAATCACTTTCTTTGCTCATCCGCAAGAAGCAACTCCTCACCCATTAAAGTTTTATCATGAGATTGCAGCAATTCAAACACAGTAATAAGGAAAACGTTGGAAATGTTGCAAGAATTACCAAAATGTGACACAGAGACACAAAGTGAGCAAATGCTGTTGGAAAAATGGTGCCGATAGACTCGTCCCACACAGGGTTGCCCCGCACCTTTGATTTGCAAACAAACAAAACGGCAGTGATCTGCAAAGTGCAGTAAAGTAAAGGGAAGTGCCATAAAACAAGGCATGCCTGTATTGGAAATGGTGAGGAGTGAGGGAACGGGAAACGTACTATAAGCATCCTCGCTCTGGGTAGAGCCACGTCACTTGTTGGCAGGTACACGACAGATTCAGGTGCACCCACAGGTATTACCTATAAATGAAGCAATACCCAATTGTAACATTGTAATTGGTTTCCCTCAGGGCTGTGGGTGATCGAATGCCGTCTGGGATCCAGGCGTGGTGAAAATCACTTTATGGGTATTCTCCCAATCTTTGCAGTTCCTCTGTAGGGGCCTGATTATTACTCCTATGTTACAGATGAGGAGGTCCTATCAGCCGAGGTCAAGCAGAGGTTAACCTGCCAGAGGGTGCCAGAAAGTAGCAGAGGCAGGCTTTACCCGGCCCAGGCAATCTGACTCCATTCCTGAGCTACCGAACACCGTTCTGACCACACCTATGAGAAATGAAATAAAACTGAATGTTGTCTTTGAAAAGAGCTTATCTTCAGGGAGAGTTTCCTCCTTCCCATCGGCAGTTCCAAAAGTAATCCTCGGCAGCACTACAGTTATCTAAGATATTAGCATTAGGGGAAAGCGGGTGAAGGGCATCTGAGAGCTCCCTGGATTTTTTTCTAACATCTATATGTGAATCTACATTTCTCTCATAATAAAGTTAAACAAATATCATAGTAGCAGCATCAACTACCATTTATTCGTTAATTTCAATTCGACATTGGGCATCTTCTCTGTGCCAGGCACCGTTCTTTCTCTGCTGGGAATATAGCGGAGAACAACACACACACACACACACACACACACACACACACACACACCCCTGCCCTCATGAAGCTGGCCTGTGCAAAGCTCATTTGGCCAGGTTCCTTATCATAAAAGTTATTAAATGCATGCTCATCACAGAAATATTGGCTAACGCTGGATTCACGTCCTTATCCCCATAAAGTAGGTCTGATTAGATTTCCCTAGGCTACTTGACAAGACTCATAATATTTGTGAATACCAAGCCTTGTCCTGAATGGCAAATCAACGAGCCGTTCTTTCTCTCCATTCTGTTTAGAATACTTGTAAAATCTAAACACTGCTCTATTCAAAACGTGCTTGGAAAGTCTCACTCCCTTCTCTCCCCTGCTCGTCTTTGCTCTAGGCTACAGAGAGCATCCAAGTAGGAGGCTGCAGACACAGTCGGCTGTCATGCAGATGATGAGGCTGTGATTGATGAATTGCAAATCCTGCCTAGTGCTCCCAAAGAAAACGGCTCTCTCTACCATTCCAGTATCCTCCAGATCCAAGACATGCAACCCGCAGACAGGAAATGGCAGCCACCAAAGCGCTGAGGGGAGCCCTTCCAGTCCTTTCTGTCCCGGCTCCAAGTTTTTTCCCATGATGGCCTGCAACAGCTCCACCGTCGAGACCTACCAGTACTTGCTGCTGAACGGGAGCAATGTGTCCGACTCCGGGGCCACCCCACCACCCGCCCCCCTCAGGATATCCTTGGCAATAATCATGATGCTGATGATGGTGGTGGGGTTCCTGGGCAATGCTGTCGTCTGCATCATCGTGTATCAGAGGCCAGCCATGCGCTCCGCCATCAACCTGCTGCTGGCCACGCTGGCCTTCTCCGACATCATGCTGTCCTTATGCTGCATGCCCTTCACGGCCGTCACCCTGATCACGGTCCACTGGCACTTTGGGGATTACTTCTGCCGGCTCTCCGCCACCCTTTACTGGTTTTTTGTCCTGGAGGGCGTGGCCATCCTGCTCATCATCAGCGTGGATCGCTTTCTCATCATCGTCCAACGCCAGGACAGGCTGAACCCGCGGCGGGCCAAGAGGATCATCGCCGTCTCCTGGGCGCTGTCGTTCTGCATCTCGGCCCCCTCGCTGGCAGGCCGGACGTTCGTGGAGGTGCCGGCGCGGGCTCCCCAGTGCGTGCTGGGCTACACGGAGTTCGCGGTGGAGCGCGCCTACGTGGTGGCGCTGGTGGTGGCCGTGTTCTTCGTGCCCTTCGGCGTCATGCTGTGCTCCTACCTGTGCATCCTGCACACCGTGCGCAAGAACGCCATCCGCGTGCACAACCAGTCCGACAGCCTGGACCTCAGACAGCTCACCAGGGCCGGCCTGCGGCGGCGGCAGCGGCAACAGCAGGTCAGCTTGGACTTGAGCTTCAAGACCAAGGCCTGCACCACCATCCTGATCCTCTTTGTGGGCTTCTCGCTCTGCTGGCTGCCGCACTCGGTCTACAGCCTCCTGTCCGTGTTCAGCCGGGGGTTCTACTGCAGCTCCTCCTTCTACACCACCAGCGCCTGTGTCCTGTGGCTCAGCTACCTCAAGTCTGTCTTCAACCCCATCGTCTACTGCTGGAGAATCAAAAAATTCCGCGAAGCCTGCATAGAGTTGCTGCCCCAGACCGTCCAAATCCTCCCCAAAGTGCCTGAGCGGATCAGAAGGAGAATCCAGCCAAGCACCGTCTATGTGTGCAATGAAAACCAGTCCGCGGTTTAAGGGACGGGAGGGAGGAGCGCGCGGACGGTTCCAGGACCGAGCTCAGAGTCCTGGCACTTTGGCCCTAGCCAGCATTTCCAGTGGCCCTGTAAGCACAAAGGTACGCCTCTGTTACCAGATAAGCTGCTGCTTCAAGTTGGCAAGATGAATTATTTTTTTTTTCTTGCTACAGGAGAGCAGTATGTGGGTCTGATAGAAACTGGAAGGTAGTTGGGACAAAATGGGGATGGGGTGGGCTGTGTGGGCAGGCAGTTAGGGAAGAGGAGGGGTCAGGGAGGAAAACTCTGTCCAAAGGGCTCCCAGTACTCCTGCTTAAGAGAAACCCTGTGGTGCCATATTCTGACATGAGAAACCCAGTAGCTGTCATCTCACAGGTTACCCCTCATTTTATTTGACGCCAGTATTCTTTTTTTTTTTAATTTTTTTTTTCAACGTTTATTTATTTTTGGGACAGAGAGACAGAGCATGAACGGGGGAGGGGCAGAGAGAGAGGGAGACACAGAATCAGAAACAGGCTCCAGGCTCTGAGCCATCAGCCCAGAGCCCGACGCGGGGCTCGAACTCACGGACCGCGAGATGGTGACCTGGCTGAAGTCGGACGCTTAACCGACTGCGCCACCCAGGCGCCCCTGACGCCAGTATTCTTAACAGGTACTTATGTTTGTGGCAGGTGGGGAAACAAGCAAGGATCTCTGTGTTGGTCGGCTGTACATCTCTGATCATGCTGAATCATCCTTTCTATAAACCAGAAACATGCTGGGAAGCAGAGCGAGCCCCTGTGCTAGTCAGTTCCCCAGTGTGACACATGGGAGGCCTCAGTGGCTTGAAGGCCAGAGAATGATCTGGGGCCGTTCAGCTGAGGGCTCGTGCATGTACCGAGCCCCTCCTACCTGGCCCAGCTCTGTCCCCTGTGCCCTGAAGCCCTTCACCCTCCCTGCCTGCCTGCCGTAACTGTGACTGTCCTCTCTCTTTCCCTCCACTGTTCCCCGCCTCTCCCTTTGTTTTATCCCATCCATCCATCGCACAGGAAAAAAAAAAAAAAAAAGAAAGAAAGAAAGAAAGAAAGAAAGAAAGAAAGAAAGAAAGAAA